ATTAAAGGGTGGGAGGCTGGATGTATGCAGTCCGTCTGATATTTCAGTTTTGACAGACATTTGCTGCTGATGAGATCTGAAGAGCTCCCGGTATCTATGAGGATTCGACCAACTCTCTGGTTGGCCACTTTACATTCAATAACGAGAGGGTCGTCATGCGGCCCCCTTATTCCTCCTAGATCCTCTTCAGTGATGACAATCTCAGGAAATGTATATTTAGACGGCCGTTCTAGGTGAACGGAATTTACATCTAACCGCCTTATATTATCTTTGTTGCCCCTAATAGTGGGGCCGCCTCCTGAGAAGCCGCCTGCAATGGTGTAGACGACTGCATCATCTGTATCGGAACTGTCGGCCTGTTGATTCTTTTTGGCCGACTGCTTTTTTGAGGAAGTATTCCCCGTAGATTTCTTGACATAAGTGTCAAGATCACCTTGATCAGCCAAGCGGTCTAGGTACCGCATGAGACTGATGCAGTCATTGGTGTGATGACCAATGTCATCATGATAAGCACAGATTTTGTCTTGGTTCCGGTTGCTCGCAGAACCCTTCATGGGGAGCGGCTTCTCAATTGAGAGCCGTCCCTTTATTTCTTTTAGGATAAACTGGTTATCCTTGTTAAACACATACTTTGGGGAGTATGGTTTGAATTCTTTTTTCTTTTTCTGGGCCGGCTGTTTAGAGGAATCAGCCGCCCAGACCTCTTTTCTTTTTTCATCTTTGTTGGACGACTGTTTCTGTCGTCCTTCTCTATTGTCGAACCTCTTCCCGTCCGACTGTTTCATCGTACACAGATCAGTCGCCTGTATATAGGCTTCTGCTTCAATCAAGGCCTCTTGAAGAGTCGCCACCCTTTTTCGAACTAAATCAAATTTGAAGGTAGACCCGTCTTTGAGACCTCTAAAAAAGTCAGTATAAGCTACCTCATCCGGTAACCCTTGAATCTGTATTCTCATCAGGTTGAACCGCCTGATGTAGGAACGAAGCCCCTCCTTTTCACCCTGCTGAATTGTTCCCAAATCAAGGGTCGTTTTCTTCGCAGGGATGTTCATAGCGAAGTTGGAGGCAAATAAGTAAGCAAGTGTCCTGAAGCTGTTTACACAACCAGTCGGCAGGTTGCCGAACCATTGCTGTGCAATTCCCTTGAGAGTCGCTGGGAAACACTTGCACCAGGTGGGATCATCCAACCCTTGAAGGTACATCAGGTTGGTGAATGCCATCAGATGGTCTTCTGGGTTAGTAGTGCCATCATAGGCGCCTACTAAAACATTTTTTACTTTGGCCGGCTGAGCGGCTTCAGTAATTTCCTTGGAGAAGGCCGACGGCTGTTCACCAAGTCTAAGCAGCCGTAGCTGCCAGTCCATAGGTTGGACGTTTTTTGCTGCAGGTCCACCAAATGGAGGTGGCTGCATAAAATACTGTTGTTGCGGCACAAATGGCAAGTTTGGTACCGCCTGTGCACTATGAAAGCCGGACTGACGGGAGGTGCCGCCTGACTGGCTCTCATGGTACGACTGAGTTGGCCTCATCGAGGCATTTCGCAAACTGTCCTGAAAATTTGAAGTAGAAGCCGACTCTGATAATTGGTCACTCTTTTTCTGCTCTAGCAGGTGCCGAGCATCTGTGAACGTTTGCTTTGACCCGTCCGCCTGAATATGACGAACCGGTTTTCTATTTCCAGTAGGATAACAGAGTTTTGTGAAATCAAGAGCAGACGGCTCCCGCTTCTTGTATTTGGGATGGGGAGTCGCCTCTCGCCCTTGAACTGGCTTCCTCTTCAGTGAAGTGGAAGGTTTCTTGGCCGACTGCTCTTTGACTGAAGCAGGCGGTTTTTTGTTGATCAACTCTTGGATCTCTCCCTTGAAATCCCTCATGAAGGTCATGAGTTCGTTCCTTGTGATGGGAGCAGACCCATCAGTCGGCTGTTGCCGAGCAAGCGGTGCGCCTGCTGGCTCGCTTCCTGTTTGAAGATACTCCCGTTCCCTCATTTCGGTATGACGGGTACGGCGGGCCCTTAGGGTCCCGTCTGGAGCTGTATGAGTTTCAACTTCAAATTCACTTTCGGTATCATGGTCCGACTGAACTTGAGGGTCGTCTAGGGGACGCCTCTCTTCTGGAGTCGGTACAGACTTGGATGCCATCTCCGAAGTACTCTCCCCACAGACGGCGCCAAATGTTTCGGGGTTTTCTGATGTCCTGCGGGAGAGTTACAATTCCGAGACTGGAACCGGACGCCTGTACCTGCAAAATAACGGAGACTCCTGAGAGCTCCGCCTCCAACGGTCAAGTTAGTACCTGATTAAGGAGTAATCAATACAGAAATTAAAGTAATCAGATCTCCCTAGGTGAGAGTGCTTAGTGTTGGTAATCTGCGTTGTTAGCGAGATTAGCCGGTTGTTAATAAGTCTGTTCTTCTCTGCTTGATCTCTTAATTATTCGGTCCTCTTCTGTTCTGTGATTAATGAGGATTAATCGAGTATTTATAGCCTTGGGAAGCGTGCAACTCTCTAGGTTTAAGGTAAACCTAGGGCTGATCGGGCCTCTAGACTGAATTGGGCCTTGATGGCCGGTTGTCCCATTTGGCATGGGTGGACACGTGGCGTGTCTTAAGTGGTCCGTGGAGGACGTATCTGTGATCGACACGTGGCAGGCTCCTGTTGGCCTTCGTGAAGGACACGTGGCGGAACCTGGTTGGTCCACTTGTCAGACGGTGATTGGTGGATAAAAATCCCCTAATCAACTCACATTCCGCGCGTTCCTTTAAATTGCTACATCATGAATAAACTGTTAGTAACTTCAATAAAAATATAAATAAAATTAAAACAATTAAATTAAATAAAAGTAGAGATGATTTGTTCCAAACCCTCAGTCAATTATACCTTTCACGCCTTGGTTTAAGGACGGAACCTCGGGTTAAGTATGGACTCCTTGGAGTGATTAGGGGAAAGAATGAAAGAATAGGGAGGCTAGTGTTTAGAATAAAGAGGGAGAAGAGAATTATTTGATGATTAGGCTTGTTAATGATTGATGAAAGGGTGATATGACCTCCATTTATAGAGAAAAAAAGAAGGGTCGAAGAATTAAGATAAGATCCGAATTAAATCAGAATAAAACTCGATATACTGCATTTTTTGTGGTTTTTATTTTTATCATATCTTTTGATCCAGAAATCGGAATAATATGAATAAGATATTTTTGGAAAGATCTTGAAGTATAATTTCTAACCCAATTAGAATCAGATTAAAATATTTTGTAGAAGTAAAGATATGGCCGAAATAGTGGGACGGTGTCAATTTTGGATAGAGTTTTTTATTTAATCCATATCTTTTTCGTTATAGCTCGAAATTGATATTATAATATATCATTGGAAAGATAATTTCAAAATTTGGATAAAAACTATGATTCACGTAAAAAATATCTGTATATCTTTGAATGTCTTTCAATTCGAATAAAATTAGGACTTTAAAAAAAAAGGAGTTTTATTCAATTTCAAACTCTTTAATCTTATCTTTTCAAAAAGGATAATTAGGATCTTTTATAAACTTATAGAAGTTTTTAATTAATCCTAATTGGGTTAGGAATTGGATTAAATCATTTGGACCCTCCACGTGATCATTGGGTCGTAGGTAAGGTGGGCTTAGGTTCGGTTTGGGCTCAGCTTAATATTTTGGTCATAACTTATTCGTTATAACTCGGATTTGGGTTTATAATATATCATTGGAAAGCTCTTTTCAAGCCCCATCCAACTATTCAATCATTGGACCCATATTATGGACCAAAATAAACTGGATTAAACGTTTTTATAAAAAGGATACGAAATGAATGATTTTAAAGGACACGAAATCAATTATTTTGGGTTTAAAGGCATGAAAAGAGGAAAATAAGTTACAGTTTGGGGAAATGGGCTAGGAATTGGGTTGGTTTATGAAATGGAAATATGGATTCATGCACTCCAAGATTAAATACTCAACCTGACCAATAATGGCGGTGAAAGGTTGTTCATCATCGGGTTTGGTTTTGGGGAGACATTTTTAGGTGTCTACAGCTGGCATAAGTTCTTTGCCGTGCATTGTACATCAGATTTCTTATATATAGTTCAAAACGTTCCGTATATAGTATAAGTGTCCATACACATACCACACCCCATGATGAGCTATGGACTATTGTTGGTGCAACGCGTGCAATCAATGGTGGGCCTTAATAGGGGCGAAACGGGGCCTGGCCCCTGATAACTTATGAAGAAAATGTTTTAAAGCCCATTTAAAAAAAAAAGAAAAAAAAAAACCAAAACTGATGCTTTCTATCTTCTTGGCGGCAGTTAAATCAAAGAAAAGGAAAGATTCCTTCCCAATTCCCTAAAAAAGCACTCTAACAATTGACAAACCTATAAACCCTTGGTCCTTCCCCTCCCTTTACTCCTCCATATTACAGAGTACATATTCACTTTCTCGTTCCAATTCAATTACAACTTCCAAGAACAAATTACAAATTTTACAATATCACTATATCAGGTATATACTCAACTACTTTCTCAATTTTTTGTTTTTAAGTTTTTGTTTTCAATTATTTTTTTACTTTTTGCAATTAATTTTTTTTATGTTATTATACTATGTACTAATGATTAATTTGAGCATTAATAAACAAATTGATAATTTTAGGTGACAAGAATTTATCAAAGTTAATTAATTACTTAGTTCAAAGTATAGAGCTCGTTTTGCCTTCGGTACGTTGTTCTTTATTTCTCTATTAATATTTATCGATTGATAAGTTATTTTTAACTTTTGATTTATACTTGTGATTTGTGAATTGTAATGCATTGATGATTAACAAATTAGTCGCTTATGAATGTATGCTTGATTGCTTAAAGTTAGTTTCTTGTTTTCTTTCATATTATATTCTTTTATTGGTTGCTACTTGTTAGAATTAAATAATTAATTAAAATGTAATTGTTGACATTTCTAAAATAAATTTAACATATAATTAATTTCAGGTAAACAAATATGAACAAACAAAAATCTATTACCTCCTTTTTCAAACGAAAAGAGCTAGAAAATGACACAACACCCGACGAAGATAATCCAGTTAATGAAGATACCCCTACCCGAACACATAATCATGAAGAAGGTCCATCGATTATTGATATTGACAATGTGGCTATTAATTATTTAGAACGTGATCCAGGGTTACGTCCTCCAATATGGGCTTATCCAATTGGAAAACGAAATGAAATAAGACGTGCTTATATTAAATTAGGGCCTTATCAACCTCAATTGGCAGAATATCCATTTTCAGGGCCTACAAAGCATCGTCGCCGATTTCAATCTACTTGGTTTGTTGAGTTCCCAGATTGGTTGGAATATTCACCTTCTAAAGATGCTGCATTTTGTCTACCTTGTTATCTGTTTACTGAAACACCAAATTCTCGGGTAAAATCGTTTACTTTGACCGGATTCAAAAATTGGAAAAAAGTCAATGACGGGAAACATTGTGGGTTCCTTGCTCATATTGGAGAAGGTCCATTTACAACTCATCAAAATGCGGTTCAATTATACAGGACTCTTCCTAAGCAAAAAGCAAAGATTCGTAATGTTTTTTTACAAAGAAAGTGAAATGCAAATCAAGCAAAATCGATTGCGTTTAAAGGCCTCTATCGATGTCCTCCGCTTGTTGACTACACAATCTTGTCCTTTAAGAGGTCACAATGAAACAAATAATTTTGAGAATCAAGGAAACTATCTTGAATTCAAAAAGGTGTTGGCAGCATATAATAAAGATGTTTCCAAAGCTATACGACAAGCTCCTTATAATGCCAAATATACTGCTCCCTCAATTCAAAAAGAGATTTTCCATATTATTTCAAATAAGGTTCGCAACTATATTAGAGAAGAAATTGGCAACTCTAAATTTTGTATTATAGTTGATGAGGCTGAGATAAATCTAAAAGAGAGCAAATGGGTCTTGTTTTAAGGTTTGTTGACAAATATAGAACAATTAGGGAGCGATTTTTTGACCTTATACGAGTTTCCGATACCACGGCAGCAACACTTAAAAGAGAATTGTGTTCAGTTCTTGCTTGACATAATTTATCAGTTGAAAATATTCGAGGGCAAGGATATCATGGTGCTAGTAACATGAGAGGTGAGTGGAATGGTTTGCAAGCATTATTTCTTTCTGATTGTCCCTATGCTTATTATGTCCATTGTTTTGCTCATCGTTTACAATTAGCATTGCTTGCCGCATCTAGAGATGTTAGAGTAATACATCAGTTTTTTCAAATTTGACTTTCATTATCAATGTCATTGTTTCATCTCCTAAACGTGTTGACCAATTGCAATCCATCAAATCTGATGAAATAAAAAGGCTATTATCTATTGGTGAAATAGACAGTGGTAGAGGAGCTAATCAGACGAGTATTTTAAAAAGAGCTGGAGATCCACGTTGGGGTTAACATCTTTACTCTATTCGTAACTTGATGAAAATGTTTTATGCAACAGTGTTAGTACTTGAACACATCTCGAATGATAAGTCTTGTAATTCTACTCAACGTGGGGATGTTGATGTTGCTTTAGATCTAATGATTTCCTTTGATTTTGTGTTCATTGCCCATTTAATGGAAGAAATTTTAGGAATTGCTAATGTTCTATGTCAAGCCTTACAACAAAAGTCCCAAGATATTGTCAGTGCTGTGAAATTAGTGTCTACAAATCATGCACTAATTCAGGAAATGAGAGAAAATGGATGGGAAAGTTTTTTAGAGTCGGTGGTATTGTTTTGTCACCAACATGATATTTTAATACTTGATATGAATTCTCCTTATATAGCTCGTAGGGGTCGAGCTCGTCATCAACAAGATCGAGTTACGATGAATCATTTTTATCGAGTTGAAATATTTTTAGGTGCAATTGACAAACAATTACAAGAGCTAAATCGGAGATTTAATGATGACTCTTTGGAGCTCTTAACTTTATCATCTTTGTTAGAGCCCAAAGACGGATTTAAAAATTTTGATCTTAAGAAGGTTTGCTTGATTGCAGAAAAGTTTTACCCCGTGGATTTTACGGAGCAAGAAAGGTACAATTTGAGGTATCAATTGCAACACTTTTTTTGTGAAGCAAAAAATGAGCCTAGTTTGACTCATCATTCTACCTTGGAGGAATTTTGCGAACACTTGGCACAAACAGGAAAATCAAATGTATACTTTTTGTTTGATAGACTAATACGTCTAGTTTTGACCCTTCCTGTCTCCACAGCTACCACTAAAAGAGCATTTTCAGCAATGAAGATCATGAAAACAAGACTACGTAACAAGATGGAGGATGAGTTTTTGGCCGATAGTTTAGTTATTTCCATTGAAAGGAAGATTTCTAAGTCATTTAGTACTAAATCAATAATTGATGATTTTAAATTATTAAAAGAAAGATGAGCCTTACTTTAATAGTGTGCTGAAGAAATAGATTGTGACATTTGTATTAGAAATAATTAGATTGTGACACTTGCATTTTTTTAATTGTTTGGTAATATTTATTATATTTAGTATTCTTATACTCATTATTATTGTTTTAGACGTACACTTATGCTAGATATTATTGGCCCCCGAAAGAAAAGATTTCAAGATCCGCCACTGCGTGCAATATAAGTGAGACAAAGAGTTTAAGTAACATTCAGTACTAAATTACAAAACAGATGTGCTTTACATTGCCAAAATTGTGTGATACACTGTGAATGAACTCACGCTACATTCACAACACTCCTTTATAACTAGTCTGCAGCTCCTATCCTTAGACCTTATTAATAAGAATATGTTCATCCCTGTGCCTAGTTCATTCTACTTCACAGTAATCTTTACTGATCGAGCCAGGCGTTTGATATGAGTTAATCTCTTAGAGGTTACAACACCTTAAACAGTCAAATGAGCACATAAATATGGACATAGGTAGATTAGGTACTCATAATAAGCAGAATTAACAGAACATAAAGAGTAACTCACAGCCTGTAAAAAGCCGCGACAGGTTAACAAACAGCAAGCAACATCATAGTAGTAACTAGACATCATAGTCATACAGTGGAGCATGAATAAATTTGAGTTGAGCATACAAAAAATACAATGGAGCATGAATAAATTTGAGTTGAGCATACAAAAAATACAATGAACCTCATATATTTACAAATCTGCTTGGAGTTACTTCTGCTAGGCTCTTACTAGTATACTTGGCAAGTTGGTAAGTTTTAATTTAAAAATATTAACTAAATTCAACACATATTGCATGCCTTACTCGAATTAAGAGACAAAAGATAGTTGAAACATTAGAAGCCCAAAATGAATCAAATATAGATTGCAGATAGAAAAAATAAAGCAACATAGAATTTAAAGGAACGAATTCAAGAATTAAACAATTAGGTACCCAGAAATCAATTCAAGAAGAGAAGAAGAAAACAACTTCCTACCTCTAGATCTGAAGTAGAAATTAACGTTTTCGGCAAAGAAACTCCAAATTATATAAGATTTTTGGTGCGTGCACTATGTACAACTTCCCTAATCTTTCTAGGTAGCAGTCCTGAAACACACGTACACACCCATGACACATTATTATTTTTTTATGTGATATTGAATTTATTTATTTATTTATTTGTTGTGTGATGATTCATCTGTGAGTAATTGGTGACAAACTTGCCAATGCCACATACTCTAGGAGTCAAATGATCATTAAACTGTAGTCTTTATCCTCTGATTTACCTCAAGGGGCTCTTCTTAAGAATATGATCATAATTTTTGTTAACATAGAGTCAAATGCAACTAAACTGCATTTACCTGCAAAACAGAAAGTCCCAAGATATCCTCGGATGTCTGTTGGAGTATCCCCAGCCCTATAGATCACATATCAAGAAACTATATATTAGTTAATGGCTAAAATTATAAACTATCCTTACTAACCTTTATAATTACCTATATATTAGTTACGCTACAAGCATCTATTAATTTCAAGTAATGCAAATTCATAGAAACGAAAATCATACAACTATATTAAAAGAAAAGGCAATATATTGATTTATGAAAAATTTTAAAAGGCAGAACCAATTAATGACTGAACTAGAAGGGAAAGAAGATACATACTTTGGCATGAAATCCCGAAAATCCTTGAAAAAAAGGAACATAAATTTAAAATATATCATCAATTACATATTTAAAAACAAAATCAAACAAACAGAAACCCTTAATTGCCAATCGAAACATCAAACATGTAACATATGGGAAAAAAAGCCCCTCAAAACCGATACTCTACATAAGGAAAGTACTACAAAATTAGCCAAAGAGACCAAAAATAATAGACCTGTTTACTACATAAGCGGTCTCTTTGTTCCAAGAGACCATTTACCATTAAAAACCGGTCTCAAAACAAATTCAAAAGACCAGTTTTTAAAGATAACCGGTCTCTTGGGGTATTTTAGAATATTCTTACATTTTAATTAAAATAGTTTGAGACCAATTGTTTTACAAAACCGGTCTCTAGGTGAATTTTTTTTTTTCAAATTAAAAATTGGCAGAGACCAGTGGAATGTAATAACCGGTCTCTGCTTTTCCTAATTCTAAACATTCAAAATCCCTAAAATAATTTCACTTTCTTTGCTCCAAAATTTTTCTTTTCCCTTAGCTTACTCTACCTACGTAATGTCGATCAAACTCCTTCCCTTAGCTTGACACCGCGCTAAGCTACCTCCTTCTCCACTTGCCGGCGTACCTCCGTCCACCTCCACCTAAAGGCTGTCGACGCGACATGCACTCAAATTTCATCCTTGACTGCACTCTATAATTGCATAATTGCATTTAATTCACTCCATTGTTAAACCACCGTTCCATTGCAATCAAACTCTATCGTTCGCACTCCATCTTCCGGCGCACGGTAGCAACCGCAATTCCACCACTGAAGTTCGATTTTTCATTCAATTGTTGGAGAATTCTGCAATTGTAGGATTAAAACCCTAACTTTAGAGAAGGTCGCGCGAGGTATTATTTATTTTTTTTTTCTTTCAGTTTCAATTTTTCATTCAACTGCTGTTGTAACTATGTATGTGGTACATATAATTCATAAAAATGAATGATTTTTGTTCATAATCTACTGTTTTATTGAGGTTGCCTTGTATGTTTTGCTATATTATAAGAAGAATACTGTTATAAAAAAGCATAATGATTCAAATTCTTTTCAGTTTTTCTATTGTATCTATTTGCATAAAATTTGTATGTTAATCGTCTTGTTATACTGGTTAGTTGATTTGGCTTAGAGAGCTTTGTTTAAGATACGAGCAGTTATATATAGTAGTTCTTAGGAATTTGATTTTCCCGCAAAAGTTCTATTTTTTACCTTTGTAAAAGGTGTATAAAATATAGTATATAAGCTAACCCCACATTTATGGATTCCTAAAATAATTGCATGTGAAAAAATATGTGCTATAAAAAATGACAGATAATGAATGTGGAAGCTCTTCAAATTTGATGTTCATGCTGCTCACATTCAAAAATAAATAGTAAATGACTAGTGGTCCATGTTTCTACTCTTTACTTTGTATAGTATATTCTTTGTGCTTAAAAAATGAATAGAAAAATGGAAGAGCTTATTGCTATTGTTTAATGAATATGATATTTGTTTTTTTACACAATATTAATATACTCTTGCAATTATTTTTTAAATACATATACATATTTTTTTATAGATTTTGTAAACATTGTGGTTATATTCCAAATTTCCTTTATATAAGCTTTACTTATGTGATATTTTTAAGTTAATTTATCTCAATCTTGTTTTTCGACTTTTATACAATATTAATATACTCATGCAATTATTGTTTTATTTATATATATTGTTTTATAGATGTTGTAAATCTTGTGGTTATATTCCAAATTGCCTTTATATGAGCTTTACATATGTGACAGTTTTAAGATTTGAGGTCTTGTTCTTGGTGGTTAGAAATGGATCGAAATTGGATATCAACATCGAAGCTGGGTGACCCTGAATATGAAGCAGGGGTTAAGGAATTTATTAAATTTGCAGTAGAAAACAGTGGAGGCCGCTCCAAGCTACGTTGTCCTTGTTTTATGTGCCATAATTTTTTACATAAGAGACCCGATGAAATTCTCAATCATTTGAGTAAATGGGAATTTGATAAAACATATACCCGTTGGATCTGGCATGGAGAGTTTAGGGACATACAAGATAGTGGTAGTGGTGAGAAAAGGGATGATGTGCGCGAAGTTCATAATAATAATGAGGGTGATCAGTTGGAGGACATGTTGCATGCAGTTGAGGATCAATTTGATAACAACCCTTCCATGTTGGAGAGCTTGTTAAACGACTCTGAAAAACCATTGTATGAAGGTTGCACCAAGTACACAAGGTTATCAGCCATACTCAAATTATACAACCTGAAGGCTGGTCATGGTTGGACAGACACAAGTTTTAATGTGTTATTGGAATTGGTGAAATACATGCTTCCCAAAGACAATGTCCTTCCTATTGGTACATATAAGGCGAAAAAGACACTAAGCTCTATGGGTTTACCTTATGAGAAAATTCATGATTGCCCTAATGATTTTGTATTGTATCGTAATCAATATGAATCGTTAGAGAGTTGTCCAATTTGTAAAGCCTCACGGTACAAGAAAGGGGATCGGGGAGTACCTGCAAAACATTATGGTATTTTCCAATAGTACCAAGGTTTAAGAGGTTATTTTCAAAAGCAGAAGATGCAAAGAAGTTAACCTAGCATTTTGATGGTCGAGTAGACGATGGAATGCTTAGACACCCGGCTGACTCTCCGCAGTGGAGGTTTATTGATGCAAAATACCCCGAATTTGCGCATGAAAAGCGTAACTTACGCCTTGCATTGTCTACAAATGGTTTCAATCCATTTGGTTCCATGAGTAGTACGTATAGTACTTGGCCCATTATGAAGAGAAGGTATATGTTCCTTTCGTTGCTAATTTCAGGGCCAAAACAGCCGGGAAATGACATTGATGTGTACTTGGCACCTCTTATTGACGATTTGATTATGCTTTGGGAAGAAGGTGTGGAAGTGTTTGATGCACATCGCAATGAGAAGTTTAATCTGAAAGCAATGCTATTTTGCACCATTCAAGATTTTCCGGCTTATGAAAATCTTTCGGAGTATATTGTGAAAGGGGAAACACCTTGTCCTATTGGTATGGAGGATTGCAAAGGACAGTGGTTAAAGGAATCTGGAAAGCATATTTATCCGGTTCATCGTCTATTTTTGCCGTCTGATCATCCATATCGAAGGAGAAAAAATGCGTTTGATGGGACACAAGAATTCAAAGGGCGACCAAAAGTCATGTGAGGTGAAGAGGTCTTCGAAAAGGTGAAGGACATTGAAATTACTTTTGGAAAGAAACACAGATCCACTCTTTCTAAGAAGGGTTTCAAAAAGTGTTCATGTTTTTGGCAACTGTCCTATTGGAAATTTCTCTTTGTGAGACATTCACTTGATGTTATGCATATTGAGAAGAATGTGTGTGATAGCTTGATTGGTACATTACTCAATATCCCCGGTAAAACCAAGGATGGTAAAAAATCTAGAGATGATTTGAAGCATATGGGGATTAGAGATGAATTGCATGCTGTTACGAATGAGAAAGGTCGAGTATACTTGCCTCTGGCTGCTTACACATAGTCCAGAAAAGAAAAAATCGAGTTTTGTGAAAGCTTGGCTGGAGTAAAAGTGCCCGAAGGTTATTCTTCGAATATTCGTAGCCTTGTGAACATGGAAAATTTGAAACTTGTAGGCCTTAAGTCTCATGATTGTCATGTTTTAATGCAGCACTTGTTACCTGTAGCAATTCGTTCTATTCTACCTAAAAATGTTCGTTATGCTATAATTAGACTTTGAGGATTTTTTCATGTGATTTATAGCAAAGTGATTGATCCAAGAGAGTTGACTGCATTAGAGGATGAAATTGTTGAAATTTTGTGTCAATTAGAGATGTTTTTTCCTCCATCCTTTTTTGATATCATGATCCATTTACCGATTCACTTGGTTAGAGAGATAAGATATTGTGGTCCAGTTCACATGAGAAATCAATGGTGTTTTGAAAGGCAAATGAGAACCTATAAAGGATATGTGAAGAACGCTTTTCATCCTGAAGGTTGTATTGCCGAACGACTATTTTACGAAGAAGTTCTTGCTTATTCCAATGACTATGTGCTAAATGCAATACGGATAGGGCTTCCTGTATTTCGTCATAGTGGAAGAATGGATGGTGAAGGGACCATAGGTCGAAAAGTACGTGACCTATCCTATGTTGATTGGCATAAGACTCATTTATACATTCTTCATAATGAGGATGAAGTTATGTCGTATGTTGAGAAACACATGAGCTTCTTGAGGAAAAGCAACAGGAGAGCAAATGAGAAGTCATTAGCTGCTGAACATAGTAGGTCATTTATTAGTTGGCTGAAGGATTATGTAATGAAGGAGCTCATAGATTCTTCGACTCCATTTTCTGATCGACTAAAGACTTTGGCATTTGGACCCGATTTTAGTGCCACTTATTATTCTGCATATGTTATTAACGGTTGCACATTTTACGTAAGGTTTCAAGATGAACTTAGTACTATGCTGAATAGTGGGGTTACTTTAGAGGCTGAAGCTATGCATTTCGCTAGTGCTAAAGACAAGAATCCTGTGTGTGGTATGATGAACTATTATGGGGTCATCGAAGAGATTTGTGAGCTTCATTACTCTAGTTTTTCGATACCTGTTTTTAAATGCCAATGGGTCGACAATAAAAATGGGGTTGAACATGATAGGTTCGGGCTTACATTGGTGAATTTGAATAAAGTTGGTCACAAAGAAGATCCTTTCATACTAGCAAGTCAGGCAAGACAATTCTTTTATATGACCGACCCATCGAACAAGAGAATGTCAACAGTTATAGCACCAAAGCCCCGACATATTTTTGATGATTATGGTGACGATAGTGTGTTGGATGATGGTTATGTTAGAAGAAAGGAGCAAGTACACATTGAGTTTGATGTTACAGATGATATTTCAATATATGTTAGAGATGACCACAATGAAGGCATGTAGGTAGACAAAGAAAAAAAGGGGAAAAAGCGAAAGCGTGGACATAATAAGTCCTTATGTATTTGAGGTGTGTTTCACTTACTAGGTGGTAACATTAATTTTCAAGTCTTACTTTGTTTGTGCAACTTGATTTATAAATGTTTGCTTGTCAAAATCATTTCTCATTGCCATCTATATATTAATGTTTAATTCACGTTATGGTTTTTATAGCATTTTATTTAGTTTAACTAACCAAATTGATTTTTTCTTTTTATCTTTTCAATAGGTTGATGGCTCGGAAAAGAAAGCGAGTGCGTGAAACCGAAAATTCTGACAACAACGAATGCGAGGAAGAAAGAGGTCGCACGGTGCTTAGAATGGTTGGGAAAGCTATCCAGGCTGTCTCAAAAATCCCTTTACAATGGCATCCAACCAAAAGAATCCCTATTGGGAGTCATAGAGGTCATTTTTCCACCTATATTGGTGTAGTTGTGCGTGAAAGAGTAAGTATCACCTACAACAAGTGGTTAAATGTTCCACAAGCAGTTCTAGATCATTTGTATGACAATATCTCGGTAAGTAAACTGAGTTCATATGTTACATAATAAAAAAAAAAAGTTAAGGGTTATATATATGTATGTCTAACATATGACATTATATGAATGTAGAGGGGGGTTTGATGTCCTTGAAGGTAGCAAAAGATGGATACTAAATCGAGCTTCTGATCGGTGGAGAGCTTTCAAGACTAGACTAAGACTTAGGTGGTTGTATCTCAAAGATGGATCAATTAACAGTACACCACCTTTGAAATATCCTTTTATAACTCCGAATGATTGGGGGGCATTCATCACAGCTTGTAGTTCTAATGACTTCAAGGTGCTAGTTCATCATTATGGAATTATCTTATTATTTTTTTTTTGTATGCCTTTATAAATTTAATGTTTGTGTAAAATAACTTTGAATGTGTACTTAATTGCAGAAATTGAGTGAAAGTAATCGTGAAAGGTCTAAAAAGAAGACCTCAAAGTATCGAGGTGGGAGACTAGGCTATCAATATTTTGAAGAAGAAATTGTAAGTATATGTTGCTTTTATTCTGCCCTTGATATGATCTATCCTATGTCCCTATGTCCACATTCTCCATTATGCTATCAAATTTTTGTGTTGATGTCCCTTCTATTGTCTCAACTCTCAATAAAGAACAAATAAATACCATTGTCGCGACAATGGTAGTTAGACCTCTCTGGTTACATAAGATAAAATATCAAAGTATGATAATACGAGTAGTATGTAAGAATGAATGGTTATTAAAAGAAATCACGTGCCTTGAATAAATCTTTAATTATACTTCTTAATTGTTATTGAGTCGGTGATTAAATGAGGAGTCAATGAGATGGTTCGTTCGTTAAGAAAGGTTAAATATTAAGCTTATTACCACTCTTTTGTTGAAGGAGTTTTCGATGTTATGTCCAAAGCAACTTTGTAACATTGTTAGTGATTTTGAAAGCGATACCTGAAAATAGTACAGGAAACATTCATAACAGTTAGAAGAAATCAATTAATCACTTGAATCTACAGAGTAAAGACAAACGGTACAAATTGATGATATATAGTGTGATCGAGATGTTGATCAAACTTCAACTGTAAGCTGATTAAATCTTGGCATACAATATAGTAAAGTTAGGCTCAACATATGCCACTGAATTCGAGTTTTTGCTTTTAGCATTGAAAACAACCAGAATGTCTTTTACCAAAATATGATCAATGGAAATAAATCTATCATAAACTGGCAGAATCTAACCCCAAATTTACAACATCAAAAGTTGGAAATCTTCATGATCAAGGGAGTTTTTTTTTTTTCGTTAAAACTTAGTTTTCTTATACATTCACAAACACAAAGAACAGAATCTATATAATAAGTAAAAGATGTATGATGCTATTGTCCTAACAAACTGAGTTCATATTCCACTGTCCTGTTCTTCTGCTACTGTCCTGTTCTTTTTTTTATTATTATGCTACTGTCCTAATAAACTGAGTTCATATGCTACTGCCCTGTTTTTCTGCCACAATTAGCCGTTGCTTGTGTTGGTGTTGAGGGGTTGTCCTGCTGCTGTTGTGTTTTGTTTTTACCTCCTGTTGTACACGAAAGTGATTGGTGGTGGGTGCATTGCACTATCATTACTCATTGCTCTTCATTTCACTGTAATGCCATAAGTGATTTTATGTTTGTTGCTTTCTTATTAAATTATGAAGTTGTCTCTTCCTTGACAAGTTATAAAATTCTTAAAAGGGGTAGTGTTGTATGAATTAGCATAACTGATTACTGGATATAGTGCGAGGGTGGGGGGGAGTTGTATGCTGGGATGCTCGAGGGAAGTTGGTTGCTTGCTACTTCTGTGAGGCGTGTAGATGTGTGTGTTGGGGGGTTGACCTTGCAGAAGCTTGTGCTGCTAACTAGGTTTGGTGCGAGAAGATTGGGGTTTATGAAAGTGCACTTAGAATGTGATGGTCTTGCTGTTGTCCAAGCAATTTAGAACAAGAAGATTGGAGTTGTTGTCCTTTGTGCTAGAAGGTTGGAACTATGTGGTAGAAGATTAAAACTCAGTGCACAATAGAGAACAAATTGCTGGTAAAGATTGTCCACTTGGACAGAAGCAGCTTGAAATATTGAATACATCCCCATTTTTTTAAATGACATCCCAGATTCCCAGTGGCTTTAGCTACACATGATAGCAGAACACAATATCTATGTTCTGTTCATGTTTCATCAAGGCACATAAGAAACTCGAACATTTAACCAAGATAAAATGAAAAATTAGCAGAAGAAAAAGAAGGCAAATACCTCAATTGGATTAAATTTCCAAACTGAGGGAAGTAATTAATAAGCAATATTCACTGCTATAATTTAAAGAAATTAAAATCCATGTAACAACTTCTAATTTTCGTAGCTATAGAAGGCTGCAAAAGTTTTAAAACACAAAGTTGATAAGATGATCTCCTACAGAACAAGAAAATAATGATATGTCCATTTTGTATAGTGTTTTACCCCCGTCCCTTAGTCGTTATTAGCAGTGTTTTTGGCTCTTTCGGGCCACTTTTATTACTAATTTGTGTTTTCTAGTGTTTTCGTAGTTTTAGTTGTATTTTACAGGAAATTACACTCTTGGAGCATTTTTCCGGGCTTTATGGATCAACTACGGAAGCTAGAAGGACACGACCACTTTTGGAGCCCAGGATCGGTGAGAGCTGATGATTAAGGGCTCGGTAATTGGAATCCCGAGACTTTGGACCGAGTATTCAAGACCCGAAGAGGAAATCCGGATTGGGCCGAGAAATCAAGCCCAATCGAAGTCCGAGCCTCAAAGTGAAGCAAGGGCCCGATCGGGCAACCTCTAGCACTATCGGGCGCGGCGCTCTAGTGTTGTGCGTGGCTTATAGCGCGCCCGATCATGCAAGCCTCTAGCACGATCGGGCGACGTTGATGGGAAGGAACGCGAAGAAAAAGGCGGGCCCGATCGGGCGGCCCTTCGCCCGATCGGGCGCGCGTTTTTTATAGGACCTGATTAGTTAGCCTTAATTTTTGTTTTAGAAAAACGTTTATGTTTTTTGTACGGATTTTAGATTACCTTATTTCTTAGACTTTCTCTCTCTACTTAGAATATTTTCTCTCTCTTAAATTCTCTCTCAACATTTGTTCTTAATTACTTCCATTAATCCAGTTTTCTTTTGGTAACAATTTCTTCCCTTTTAATTTCAGCAATTTTACTTGCTTCTTTGATTATGCTTTTATTTAATTATTTGATTAGTTTAGTTATGATGATGCGTGAGTAATTTCATTCTAGGGTTTATGGGGATCTATAATTAATAAGAAGGGATAATATGTTATTATTGATTATTGATATTGCATGATAATTTCTTATTGAATTGTTTTAATTCTTTGCAATTAGATTATGAATCGAGCAGATGTAATTTAATTGTAGATGTTTGGCAATATTGAATTGATGAATCGAGCATATGTTAATTTAATATTAAAGGCTATTTTCAATAGGAACTTAGATCTAGTAAATTGTGAGAGCTTGTTAGATCTATGTTGATTAATAAATTGCGAGAGCCTGTTAATAATGTTATTTGTGCATTGTTAATTATTAATTACTTCGTTTTATCCCGGAATATTAATTATTGGTGAACCTGTGACCCTAGGCTTCCTTATTATTGTTTCTTTTCTCCCTAAACTTATTCTTCGTAGTATAGAATTTATTCCCAAAAATATTGGTTACTTAGATAATTTAGATTATAATAAATAATTAGGAGTAAAAAGACTTGTTTCCCTGTGGAGTTCGACCCTACTTCCCTATCTACATTAGTTAGAGGATTTAGGTATTACTTTTGATTAGGGGATACGACTTTACCCTGTCAAAAATTTGGCACCGTTGCCGGGGAAACGATTTTATTTTTGTTTTCTGATTATATTTTTGTAGTCTAGATTATCCCCTTTTTGCCTCAGAGAACGTTAGTTCTTTGAGGCAATTCTCATATTTATCTTTAGTTCTTTGTTTATTCCCAGGTGTTCCAGATCAGGTTACATCCCTTTCGACCCTGAGATCGAGCGTTCTTTTCATAGGCAAAGGAAACTCTATAGACAAATTCTGGCGGGTTCTGAGGAGGAAAACGGTTGAAGAAATCCTCCCTCTGATTCTAGTGACACATATATTCCTTTAGAATCAGAATCAGAGATGACGGCCCAGAAGAAACTCAATGATTACTCGCAACCGAAGCTCACAGATTTCCCGCACCTTACTCCCACTCCGGCTCTAGATGGAGTTCAATTTGAGATCAAGCCCCAATTTATCACTATGATAGAGAGGAAGCAATTCAGTGGAGCTAAGGGTGAAGACCCTAATCTTCACATCGCAGATTTCTGCCAATATTGTAACACCATTAGACAAGTCGGGGTCACGCAAGACCAAATCAGGGAGATTCTCTTTCCTTTTGCATTATGTGGCAAAGCTAAATTATGGTTTAATGGTTTGAATAGAACTGCACTTGGTATTACTGACTGGGAAACTCTTGCTTTGAATTTCTATAATAAATACTATCCTGCAGAGAGAACAGCGGTGCTAAGGAGTGCTATTCAGAACTTCGCTCAAGAGGCCGACGAAACGTTATATGAGGCTTGGGAGAGGTTCAAGGATCTATAGAGAGAGTGCCCCCACCACAATCTAGCACAATGGCAATTTATAATGGACTTGGAAATTCTTCTAGATCAGTGCTAGATTCTGCATCTAGTGGGAGGTTTATAAATTTAAATGTGGACGATGCAGGACAGATTATCGAAGACATGGCAATACACAATTCCCAATATGGGAATTCGAGAGGGTTTGCAAATAAAGGAAAACATAATGTCGATTCTGTATCCTTTTTGCAAGCTCAATTAACGTCTATTTGTCAAAAATTAGATAATCTTATTGATGCTCCTAACTCTGTAGCTAATGCTTTTGCTGTTTCTAACAATGAAGCTTTTTGTGAAAATTTTGGAATTGTAGGTCATTAGGAGCAAGATTGTAGGAGCTCTATGGAACAAGTTAATGCCTTTCAAACTTATAGGCAGAATAACCCCTATTCCAATTCCTACAATGCCGGTTATAAAAATTATCCTTATCTTTCATACCGGAGCACCAATGTACAAAATCCTCCACCTCCACAACAAGCACAACAGCAAACCCCACCACAGCAAAAATATTATCATCCTAATTCTGGCCAGAAAAGCCAAGCATCACCCTCATCATCTTCCGACCCTGCCATGACAGAAATTAGAGCAATACTTGCCAATATGCAAAAGCATATGGAGAGTAGGATGCGCAAATTGATTCTATCCTAGCCCATAATAAAATCATGGACAATCAAATTGCACAACTTTCATCTACCCTACAATCCCGTCAGCAGGGAGCTCTACCATCACAACCTATCCATCCTACAGATCATGCCAATGCAATCACTCTAAGGAGTGGTTCACATTATGATGGACCTCCTATGCCAAAGGAAGATAGACCAGTTCCTGATCTAGATTCCTCTATACCAAACGCTAATCCTGCTAGCCCTGCAGGGCTACAAATAGATACTAACCCTACTAATGTTTCTGTGCAGGGTAAATCGCAGGATAAAGGAGGAGATGTGCAGAGCCCAGTTATCAAGCTTCCATTCCCTAATAGACATCTAAAGAGTAAGCTTGATAAACAATTCGGTAAGTTTTTAGAGGTTGTGAAAAATCTGCAGGTAACAGTTCCTTTTACTGACTTAATCACTCAAGTTCCTGCTTATGCTAAATTTATGAAAGACATTCTGACTAGGAAAAGGGCCTTTAATGAATTAGAAACTGTGGCTTTCATAGAGGAGTGTAGCGCTTTATTGCAACACAAATCCCCTCCTAAATTAAAGGACCCCGGTAGTTTTTCTATCCCTTTTCATATTGGGAATGTTTTTATTGATAAAGCTTTGTGTGATTTAGGTGCTAGTGTCAGTGTCATGCCATCGCCTGTCTGCGCTAAACTTAATATGGAATAATTAAAAGTTACTAATATAACTTTGCAAATGGCAGATCGTTCGGTAAAATACCCCTTAGGTATTTTAGAGGACGTACCTGTCAGAGTTGGTAAATTTTTTATTCCTGTTGATTTTATTGTTCTAGACATGGCAGAGGATACACAAATACCCATTATATTAGGTAGGCCTTTTCTCCATACTGCAGGAGCGATTATTGATGTTAAAAATGGTAAACTAACCCGTTCTGTAGGTGACGACAATGTTACTTTTAATTTAGGGAAGGTTTTGAAAGGGCCTATGCTAGAGGAAAATTGTTGCTATATTGATTTAATTGATAAAATGGATGATATTTGTGATGATAGCTTGCCACAGGTTCTTGCGAAGGATCCCCTAGAGGAAGTTCTCTGCGGGAATTTATCTAGCGACAATGCAAGCGTTTGGGGTAATGAGGTACAAGATATTGAAAAGGCTCTTTCCTTAGAAGAGTTAGGCCCCGAGGAAACATTGAAGGTAGTAAATTTAGTTCAGGAATCAAAACCTACAGAGGTCAAGAAACCTGAGCTAAAACCTATCCCTTCTCATTTAAAATATATTTTTCTTGATGAACAGGAACTACACCCCGTGATCATCAGTACTGCACTTACTGACCTACAAACTTCCCAACTTCTAGGGGTTCTCAAAACTCATAAGAAAGCTATTGGGTACAGTATTGATGATCTCAAGGGTATTAGCTCTGACTTTTGTATGCACAGGATACATCTAGAGGAAAATTACAAGCCCTGCGTTCAACCCCAACGAAGATTAAATCCCAACATGCAGGAAATAGTCAAGAAGGAGGTTATGAAATTCCTCGATGCAGGTATTATCTATCCAATTTCTGACTCCAAATGGGTAAGTCATGTGCAGGTAGTGCCAAAGAAAGGTGGGATGACGGTGATAACCAATGAAAAAAATGAATTAATTCCCACTAGAACTGTAACAGGGTGGCGTATGTGCATCGATTATCGTAGATTAAATATCGCCACAAAAAAAGACCACTTCCCTCTTCCATTTATAGATCAAATGCTTGAGAGGTTAGCCAATCATAAATTCTTTTGCTATTTGGATGTGTATACGGGATTCTTCCAAATTCCGATTCACCCTGAAGATCAGGAAAAGACTACTTTTACATGCCCTTATGGCACTTTTGCATATCGTAGAATGCCCTTTGGTTTATGTAATGCACCCGCTACCTTTCAATGTTGTATGATGAGCATTTTTTCTGATTTCATAGAGTCTATTATGGAGGTCTTTATGGATGATTTTAGCGTATATGGTTCTTCATTTGATTCATGCTTAATTAGCCTCGCTAAAATTTTGAAAAGATGTGAAGAGTGCAACTTAGTTCTTAATTGGGAAAAATGTCACTTCATGGTGACAGAGGGAGTAGTCCTAGGTCATATTGTATCTGATAAGGGCATACAAGTAGACAAAGCTAAGATATCAGTGATTAAGCAATTACCTCCCCCAGTTAATGTTAAGGAA